TTTTTTTTTTTTTTTTTTTTTTTTTTGCGGTACACAGGCCTCTCACTGTTGTGGCCTCTCCCGTTGCGGAGCACAGGCTCCGGACGCGCAGGCTCAGCGGCCATGGCTCACGGGCCCAGCCGCTCCGCGGCATGTGGGATCTTCCCAGACCGGGGCATGAACCCGTGTCCCCCGCATCGGCAGGCGGACTCTCAACCACTGCGCCACCAGGGAAGCCCCCCTTTTTATGATAGTAAATTCTATACTCGTCTTCACCTTTTTTTTTTTTTTAACCTTAATAATACATCTAGGAAATCTTTCTATTTCATTTTATAGAGAGTTTCCTCTTTTTTTTTTTTTTTCCTGCCATGCAGCATGGCTTGAGGGATCTTAGTTATCGTAGTTCTCCAACCAGGGATTGAACCCGGGCCCCGGCAGAGAAAGCACCGAGTCCTAACCACTGGACTACCAGGGAATTCCCTCCTCATTCTTTTTTTAAGCTATATCATATTCCACTGTCTTGGACATGCCATAATATATTTAAAGTCTTTTGCTGTTTCAAACAACACATAACCTTGTGCACATGTGATTTTGCATGTGTGTGAGTACATCTGCTACTAGATAAATCCCTAGAGTGGAATTGCTGGGTGAAAAAACATATGCATTGGTAATTGTGATAGATATTCCCAGACTTCCTTTCTAGGGTTATACCCATCTACATTCCTAGCTGCAGCCTTTGAGAGTGCCTCCTCCCCTTCTGACAGTCAATATAGTGGTAAAACCTTTGGATTTTTGCCAATCTAATGTATCTCTTTGTAGTTTAATTTTTCATTTCTTTTAAAATAAATGATATTGGTTAATAACATTTAAAAACCCTTCTTGTGCTATGCTGAAGGCAGTGCGGGGTTTCACTGCAGCTGCCTTACCCTGTTCAGTGAAAAAGTCTGTCAGTTAGTAGCTGTCATTCTTCCTAAATTCGGTTATAGATTCAATACCATCACAATAAAAATTCCAGCAGGAATTTTTGAAGATACAGATAATCCGATTCTAAAATTTACATGAAAATACAAAGGACCTAAAATAGCCAAAACAGTCCTGAAAAAAGGAACAAAATTGAAGGTTTTCTACACCGTGAAATAGAAAACTCAGAATCATAAAGCTTCTAGAAGAAAAGTGAATGTTTTTGCAACCTTAAGGTAAAAATTTCTTAGACAGGATACAAAATGCACTAATAATAAATTTTTTTCTTTTCTGATAAATTGGACTTCTTCAAAATTAGTTCTGCTCACCAAAGACAATGTGTAGTAAAAGATTAGATAAGCCCCAAACTGGGAAAAAAATATTCACACTATATCTGACAGTGGACTTGTATTGAAAATATATGACAAACTTCTATAAATCAATAATAAAAAGGTGAACAACCCGTTAAAAATGAGCAGATCAGGGGCTTCCCTGGTGGCGCAGTGGTTGAGAGTCCACCTGCCAATGCAGGGGACACGGGTTCGTGCCCCAGTCTGGGAAGATCCCACATGCTGCGGAGCGGCTGGGCCCGTGAGCCATGGCCGCTGAGCCTGCGCGTCCGGAGCCTGTGCTCCGCAACAGGAGAGGCCACAACAGTGAGAGGCCCGCACACCGCAAAAAAAAAAAAGATCAAATCATCTGATTGCTTATTTGAACAGACCCCTCACAAAAAAAAGGTACATGAAAGGCAATAACACCAAAAAGTGCTCAACATCTTTAATCATCAAAGAAATGCAAGTTAAAATCACAAAGAGACACCATTTCAGACACAGGGAAATGGCTAAAATAAAAAAGACAAACAAAACCAAATGTTGGCAAAGAAATGAAGCAACTAGGACATTCAACACACTAGTGAGAGTATAGAATGTTACAACCATTTTGAAGAACTGTTTGGCAGTTTCTTATGAAGTTGAACATACCTCTACCCTATGACTCAGCAATTCCTTCTAGAATATATACCATATGATTCCACTTACACGAAATCCAAGAACAGACTAGACGATCCATGGTGACAGAAATCAGAAAGTGCTGCTTGGCTGGGGAGGAAATTGATGGAATGAAATATGAAGGAACTATTCTACATCTTGTTTTAAGTGGTGGTTTCACAGTTGTATCTAACTGTCAGAACTCAACAGAACACCTAAGATCCATGCATTTTTATTGTTTCTAATTTTACCTTATGCCAAAACAAACAAAAAACGCAGCCACTAGCTTCAGGCTGTCTTATGGAATGGTCCCACCTAATCAGTTTGCAGTCATTTCCATGGCTCTGGGATTCCTGGATGGGTTTATAGCCCAGCTTGGGTAAACACACCTTGTACAGTTGCAGGTCTGGAAAGATAGTGACCCTAAAGCACACATTCTTATGTAGCTTATCTGTAGCCTGTGAGCTAGAAAAGTTCTCAAGAGAGAAGGCTTTGAGGGCTAGAATGAAGCCAGGCAGCTTCCAGCAACTAGGGATATCACAACAGGGATGGGGTTTCACTTGAGGACCTGCTGCTGCTACTGTTCCTTCTGCTGTTAACTACATGTAGGCCATCAGGCAAAAGTTGGCTATCCACTGGGGTGTTTGGACCCCACCTATGAATTATCTGTAACACTTAAATTGGTTGTAACCATTTCTTTACATGCATGGGAAGAAAGTAGTCAGTCCTTCCCTAAGTCTTTTTTTTTTTTTTGGTCGTTAAGGTAATTGCATTTCTGAGACTCATTTTTCCAGGTGCCTTTGGAAGCCTAGTTAGCAGGTATAGACTAAAGAGTCAGTGCTTTCCATCTATTTTAGTTAGTTAATTTCAGATTACAAAAGTAATACATATTCCCAATGGAATAAAATAGAGAATCTGGAAATAAACCCTCACATATATAGTCAACTAAATTTTGACAGTCAGAATTTGATCTTTCAGTGGGAAAGGGCTTTTCATTTGTCTTTTCAACAAATGGTGCTGGGAAACCTGTATATCCACATGAGAAAAAATAAAGTTGGACCCTTATCTTATACCATATATAAAAATTAGCTCAAGATGGATTAAAGACCTAAACTTAAGAGCTAAAACTATGAAACTCTTAGAATAAAACATAGGTGAAAATCTTCATGATCTTATTTCTTATGTATGATACCAAATGCACAGGCAATGAAAGAAAAAATAGATAAATTGGATTAGGAGATTATTTCTTACATATGACACCAAAATGATAAGTGATGAAAGAAAAAAATTAATTGAACTTCTTCAAAATTAAAAACACTTGGAAGTTCCCTGGTGGCCTAGTGGTTAGGATTCCAGGCTTTCACTGCCGTTGCCCTGGTTCAATCCATGGTCGGGGAACTGAAATCCCACAAGCCACGGGGAACGGCTAAAAAAAAAAAATTAAAAACACTTGTGCATCAAAAGCCACTACCAAGAAAGTGAAAAGACAATCTACAGAATGAGGGAAAATATTTGCAAATCATACATCTAATAAGGGATTAATATCTAGAATATATGTATATATATATATATATATATTTTTTTTTTTTTTATTTTTTTTTTTTGATGTAGACCTTTTTTTTTTTTTTTGATGTAGACCATTTTTAAAGTCTTTATTGAACTTGTTACAATATTGCTTCTGTTTTCTGTTTTGGTTTTTTGGCTGAGAGGACTGTGGGCTCTTAGCTCCCCGACCAGGGATCGAACCCTCACCCTCTGCATTGGAAGGCGAAGTCTTAACCACTGGACTGCCATGGAAGTCCCTAGAATATATTTTAAAATAATAAAATAAAATAATAATATTATGAGGGGGAAAATATCTAGACTATATAAAGAATTTCTATAACTCAACAAGAAAAAAGCAAGCAAACGAATTTAAAAATGAGTGAAGGGGACTTACCTGGTGGCACAGTGGTTAAGAATCCGCCTGCCAATGCAGGGAACACAGGTTCGAGCCCTGGGCCAGGAAGATCCCACATGCCGCGGAGCAACTAAGCCCATGCACCACAACTACTGAGCCTGTGCTCTAGAGCCCACGAGCCGCAACTACTGAGCCCGTATGCCACAACTACTGAGCCCCCTGCATTGGGAGCTTGGAGTCTTAACCACTGTGACATCAGGGAAGTCCCTAAACATTCTTTTAAAAGGATTTTTAATATTTACAAAATAATCCATAAAATGGATATACATAACATTAACTCATTCCACATTGATAAATTGTTCTGCAAGCCCCTTGATTATTTTCATAGGAAACAAATTCTAGACATGGAATTATTAGATTAATGGTATGAACTATTTTAAGCTTCTTGCTACATATTGCCAAATTATTTTCTGGAAAGTTTTAGCAATCATGCCATGGATCTAAAAGTGTTCTTGTTTTCACTGTATTCTCACT